AACTTCATCCCATCTTAACATCTCAAGATGATGATGCATTGCATTTCAGATAGTATATTCGCATGTACAATAATTTATTTGCATTCTGCTCTCTTGGTGGCGATTATAATCCTAAGACATACAAAGGAATCTATGTTTTCTTATTGCATGGTTAGATTTATCACAACTTGCCTGATTTGTTACCAGAAAATGAAAAGCCTAAGTACTTGCAGCTGTATTTTTATGATGCACATTTTGAAGCCAAGCATAGAACAGAAGCTTTTCCTGAGGTTAGAAAAGAGATAGTTGACATTCTAATGCGTGTCACAAGTGCAAATCCATATGCTCGGTTTTTCAGATCATTGAGTGAGTTAACCATAACTCATAGTACACAAATAGCTATTAATCAGAGCACAATATTAGATCAGCGAGTGTATAATGCACCATTTACTGATGAAGTAGCAGCTATATGCCAGACAACATGTCTTACAGTGATTACAACAGTCCTCATATTGTTGTAATAGGCAAGTCCAATGATCCTCATCGGATATATCATTATTATGGATGTTATGATCCTTTACGGTATCCTCTTCTATTCCCATATGGTGACTGTGGGTGGACTCAAGGTATACGGAAGATTTATAAGAATTCGCGAAAGGAGGCTTTACAGGATTTCGATCCTATTGCTTCATGTGTTGTGCATTCAAAGGAGAGCTTTATAGAAGAAGAAGTGAAACGTGAGTGGTTAGTTATGGGAAAATTGATTTATGAAATAAGTGCTTTAAGGTTGTATAGTTGCATTTTAGATCTAATTTAGTATCTTATTTTAACATACAGGTGCAGCAGACTCGTCGGGGAGCTCTAAGAGACATATTTCTGCCAGAGAATATTATGTTTACAAGTTGCAGATTAGGCTAGTGAATATGCTTCTTCGTGGAGGACAATGCTTTCAACAATACATTGTTGATATGTATATCAAGATTGAAAACACAAGGCTTGATTTTTTTAGGAGAAATCAATAAACAATACGAGCAAATTTGTATTAGTGGATTTTTGATACTGTTGAGGATGGGGAGAAAAGTGCCAGCAATGTTGGTCGGCGTGTTATTTTACCACCAACTTTTATTGGTGGACCTCGTGATATGAAGAAGCGATACTTAAATGTTATCGCTCTTGTGTAGCGATTTGGTAAGCCTGATCTCTTTGTTACTATGACATGTAATGCTAGATGGCCAGAAATAACAGCTGAGCTTTCTGAAGGAGATGTTGCAGCTGATCGTCCAGATCTCATTGCTCGTGTTTTTAGAGCCAAGTTAATTGCTTTGAAAAATAAGATAATAGAAGATAAAGTTTTTGGAAAGGTGGCAGCCATGGTATATGTTGTTGAGTTTCAGAAAAGAGGTTTACCACATGCTCATTTTCTTATCATTTTAAAAAATGGTTATAAACTTTCTGGTCCTTCAGATTATGACAGGTTTGTAAGAGCACAAATCCCTTCAACTGATTCTCCAAAATTGCGTAAAATCTTTCTCAGGCATATGATGCATGGACCTTGTGGTAGTTTACATCCTAACTGTGGATGCATGAAAAAGAAAATTGGAGATCAAATTGTCTGTAAATATAACTATCCTAAGTCTTATTTAGAAGAGACCACTACTAAAGAAGATGGTTTCCCATCGTATAAAACATGGAATATAGGAGAACATGTAAGGATACATGGTGCTACTCTTGATAATCGATGGGTTATTCCTTATAATCCGTATTTATCAATGTTGTTTGATTGTCATTTAAATGTTGAAGTATGTTCGACTATTCAGGCAGTGAAGTACCTTTATAAATATGTTTACAAGGGCCATGATAGGGTGTCTTTCAATATTGGTGGGGAAAATAATCAGGGTGTTGATGAGATTGAGAATTTTCAAGCTAGTAGATGGGTTCCTCCATGTGAAGCAGCTTGGAGGATATTTGGTTTTGACTTATTTTAAATGACTCCATCTGTTATAGTGTTACCAGTGCACTTGCCCAATATGCAAACTATTTATCTAAGGTCTCATGAAAATCTTGATTCAGTAATTCAAAATGAAAAAAGAAGCCAAACTCCTTTAACAGAATTCTTTAGCCTGAATGCACGCATTGCTGGGGGCACAGGTTTACGATATACTGAAGTGATTTCAGAATATAGGTGGGATGAAAGCAAGAAGGTGAGGATTAAAAGGAGCTATAAAAAAATGTTGGCCGGATGGTCTTTGTGGTTCCTGCGGAAGGAGAACGTTTTTTCTTGCGTTTGTTGCTTAGTAAAATTATTAGTCATGTGTCATTTGAACATCTGAGAACTGTTAATGGAGTTTTGTACCCTACTTTTCAAGGGGCTTCAATCAAACATGGTTTATTTCAGGAAGACAATGCCACTACTACTTGTTTGGAAGAGGCAGTAGAGGCACAAATGCCTTCAGCAATGCGTCAGTTATTTGCAACACTGCTAATATTTTGCCAGCCAAGTAATCTAGGTGCACTTTTGAACGCTTTTAAAGTTCTTTGTCTGAAGATTTTAAGCATAAGTATCCAAATTGTCAGGCTAAAGTTGTGAGATTAACTGTTAGGGAAGTTAAAAGCAGTTTAGAAGCCATAAGTAAGTCATTGGAAAATTTTGGGTTGGGTCACTTAATAGAGGAATCAGATGATGGGATTCGCGTTACAAAAGATATTGTAGATGCTTTGCAAGCACCCATCCCTCCAGAGTGCCTTGATTGTCGAGACAGGTTAAATGCAACTCAAGCAGATGCATTTAATAACATTATGTGTCATGTTCAAGATGGAAAGCCTGGATGTTTTTTTGTGGATGGACCAAGTAGAACTGGGAAAACTTTCTTGTATAATGCCTTGTATGCTGAGGTACGCTCATCAGGGAAATTGTGTTGCCAACATCAACATCAGGAATAGCTGCTTCTAACATTCCATCTGGGAGGGCAGCTGATGAGTGTCATTTATGGCACTCATAGGGTAGTCTTTTAGGGTTATTTCTTTCCCTTTTTCATGCTTTCTTCTCTCATTTTTGGTCCTTTTTCCTTTAGTTTCTCTTTCTCCTCTTTTCTTTATGGTTCTCGTGTTTTTCTCGTGTTTTCCTTTTATTTGGCTCTTTTTCCCTTTTATTTCCTTTCTTTGTTTGCTTGTGTAGGTATTTGGAGAATCACCTTTGCAAAGGAATCAAGTTGGGACCTTAATGACCAAGTAAGGAAGAAGCATTTTGCTAGAGAGGGCTTAGAGAAGCCTTGGAGAGGCCTCAGAGAGCTCTCCAAGGTATTTCCAGCAGGCCGCGGGCGCGGGTCAGTGGAGCCGCGGGCACGGGCTCAAGAAGAGCAAATTGCAAGATTTTGGCAGGAGCTTCCCGCGGTTGCCCCGCGGGCTCTCCGCGGGCGCGGGAAATCTGGAGAGGGCGCTCCATCTCAGAGAGACCGCTGCCCCCTGATTGAGTTTTGGGAGCAGGGGATTAGCCGCGGGCGCGGGTTTATCTTGTCGCGGGTGCGGGTGTTGCCCAGAAAGCCCGCGGAGGGTTCCGTACCCATTTCTCCACGGCCGCGGATTCATCGAGAGAGGCCGCGGGATTTGCCGGTTTCTTCTTTACTTATAAATAGAATTGTAATTCCTTTTTGAAACCAACTTTTTGATAATATTTCATTAGCTTAGTTTTAGAGAGAGAATTTAGAGAGAAGTTCTTGGTTTTGGATTTGTAACTCAACATTTGATCAATCAAGTTTGGATTTCTTCATTTTCAATCATCAATATTAGTGAGAATCTGTTCCTTCTTTCATCTCTTACTTACTTGCTATTTGATTTATGCTTGTTGCTTGTTTTCCTTTGGATTTGAGTTTGATATTGTTGAATATTTTGATTTCTCTTAGATTTTGATATAGAATGATGATTAATGCAATTTCTAGTTATTTGTTCTTGAATATCACCATGATTAGTGAGTAGATTAGTTTCTAGGGAAAGGGGGAAGCATGTTTGATTAATGAAATTGCTAGTTGATGCTCTTTGATTGATTGATTTGTTGAAATTAAATTGGTTGACATAGTTTTGCATGTGATTGATTAGACTAGGAGATAGCATTTGAACTCTCTTGATTGCTACTATTGTTTGTCCATTGAAATACTTGAATTAATTGATTGAGCTCTAAACTAGCATTATCATTGAACTTGCATGCATGTGGAACCCATATCCCTAGTGTTTAGACCTTTGTTTTACTTGATTATACTTGTTTTAGTTTACCATAGTGCCAACCATAATCTCAACTCCATCTTCGAGGTAGCTTGACTTAGACTCTAGTTTTCATAATTACATTCCCTAGGGATCGACCCTTAACTTGCCCTATATTCATATAAGGTTGGTTAGGTGTTTACAAATTTAGTTGACATGGGGGATGGGTAGATAACGACATACATTTTTCTCTCGTCAACAGCACATTCTAGGTTTAAAATACCTCTGGATTCTGAAACATCTCTTTGCGTGTGATGTTCCTAAACAAGGGAGTTTGGCTGCTTTAATAAAAGAAACTGCTCTTATCATTTGGGATGAAGCTTCCATGGCACGTAGAGAAAACATTAAATCTTTAGATCTATTGCTGTGGGATCTTTATAACCCTGATATGCCTTTTGGTGGGAAAGTGGTTGTTTTTGGAGGAGATTTTAGGTAGGTCCTGCCTAATTTTCCTCGTCGAACCCAAAAAGAGGTTGTGTTGTGTAAGTGTGGTTAGTTCTCATATTTGGCCTCTTCTGATCAAATTTTGATTAACAGGAAATATCAGAGCTAGAGAAGATCCTGTGTATTCATCATTCCTATTGTCTCTTGGCAATGGACAATTACAGTCAAGTGAAAATTCTTATGTTCAGCTTCTACAGCACATAATTAGATACTATGCTCCTGATGAAGATTCTATTTCTATACTGGCTGCAACAATATTTCCTTAAATAAATGTCCCAGGATTTGATAGCAACATATTTAATGAAAGAGAAATTATCACACCTATGAATGAAGATGTTGATATCATAAATGAACATCTGATTAGTATGTTTCTTGGTATATCTGCTATATATAAAAGCTATGATTTAGTTGTTGGTGATAGTTGCACACTCTATCCTACTGAATTCCTCAATTCACTTTGCCCGGGGGGAATGAGTCCTCACAGACTTGAGTTGAAAATAGGCGGTCTTGTTATTCTATTGCGCAACTTGGCGCCCTCTAAAGGCATGTGCAATGGAACCCGTCTTATTTGTAGACGAATCCTTCCTAATTCTATTATATGTGAAATATCATCAGGTCATTATGAAGGCACGTTTTACTTTGTACCTCGTGTGAATTTAAGGCCTTCAGTTTCTTCTAAGTATCCATTTCAGTTTGAACGTGTTCGATTTCAATTGAAATTAAGCTTTGCAATGACATTAAACAAGTCTCAAGGTCAAACATTAAATCGAGTGTTAGTGTATCTTCCACATCCATGCTTCTCACATGGACAACTATATGTTGCTCTTTCACATGCTAAACGGTCTGATATGGTTACTGTCTTTACACCTCAGCCACCAGTTGCTATTCCTAAATCAAGTGTTAAGAATATCGTGTCATATGATGTTTTACGATTAGAAAATATTATTTAAGGGTAATTTCCTAGGTATGGTGAGGTGTTTTAAAATTGCTTTGAATATTTGAAATTCATGTAGCTTACTTTATCAAGTGTCATTTTGTTTTTTACATTCACTTAATCTTACTGTGTTGTTTTGCAGCCTTTGTGAAGGTCGGATTGTACAGGTGTCCTGTTTTTCTAGAAATTTGGCTTATGCAAATTATAGTTACTGTGTTTAATGGTTTTTTGAAAGAGGCGTCACAAGTTATACATATTTCTTCAATTAGTAGAAGAATTAAGTCTTTTTTTGTAGACATGAGAAGGTAAAATGTTGATACATGTGTTTTTGTAAAAGTGCTCATTGTATTTAAATTCTAATTAAAATCTCACTATTATATTTTGTCAGTTTCTTTATATATATTATTATTGTGTATGCATGGCAACTTAATATACACAGTTATCATAAATAATATATTTGAGTATGTAGTACGTTTCTATGTTATTCTTTACAAAAAAAAATGAAATCAGAAAAAGAAAAAGAAAGGAACACTTTTTAAATGAGAATTGTAGCTTCATATGTCAATATAGAAGTCAAAGCCACATTGGTTATGTATATTTGAATTAAGTAGTTTACAGCTATGTTACTTGTGTCATTGTACAGCGTGAGGTATAAGAAACTTTCTATTATCTAGGTCAAGTGAATACATGTTTATATCCAGTGGATATTGAACAGTTTCTTCTTCTGACCAATCAATATCTTACAGCTATACAATTAAGCAAGTTTTAAGGTTTTTTTCCCTCTATTTAAAGATCCCTCTTCTTAGTTAAAATGTATTTCTAGGTTCTCTTTAGGAGCTAAGTTTGTTTGCAGATTATTCTTCTAATATCCAGGAACAAAGGTCAGTGCATTAATGGATGAATTCTGATGTTCTATAGTTGCTAATTTTAAGTTGAGTTGCATTTATTGGTATGTTGTGTTAAATTTACTTTGTTGTCATGTCTTATTATGTATGATTGTTGTTGATCTTTATAATGTGCAACGGATTTTAAGTGAACAAGAAGAAGTTCAAAGTCAATAATGTTAATTGAATTAGGCAAGAATAGCATGTCATATTTAATGTGCTTTAGTACAGTGGGTGCATTTGAGTCTTTGCCATGTTATTGTCTACTTTACAGTATATGCAGTTATTGTTGTCTATATTTATTGTATTGGGTGTCTTGTACATCTTGTTTATTAACACTGACTTCAACAATGCTTTTTAAAATCTCTGCTAATTAACTATAATAGTTAGCTTTAAATGCTTTTTCAGACATCTTTTTACATTAAATGAAGTTTCCATTTTTATTTTATGGTTAGGATTATCTAATTCTATCAACTAAAAAATTCCTTACCAGTACTTTCTATACAGCCTTTCAGTTAATAACATGATATGTTAAATATGCTTTAGTATAGTATCACTAGTAGAAAAGGTGCTATTTGTAACTGGCGAAATTGACTTTTTGTAACTGGCATTGTTGGTTGCGAATGCCACCGTTACAACTAGTGAAAATTATTTGTAACCGGCTAATGTTAGTTACAAATAATGTACTATTCGTAACTGGCTTAATCTAACGCAAGTTACAAAAGGTCTATTTTCCAAGTTAAAAGTCATAGTATTCGTAACTGGTATTAAGTTACTGATATACGTGTTTTATACAATGGTTTTCCCCGGTTTTACTTAGTAATTTTATATGGTTTTGAGCTCTACGGAGCCATTTCTTGCTAACAATCTCTTCTTTAGTGTATTCGATTGTTTTAGTAAGCTTTTCAGGAATATGAAGCGTTTCTAGGCAATTGGACGTGTTTTTAGTAGATTCGGAAGAGTTGATAGCCAAGAACTGCAATTTATGTGGAGTGCCCGACCGGGCATGGCTTGCCCGGGCAGACCGGGCAATGAAGAGTTCACAGGAAGAAGCCCAATTCTGAACGGTGCAACGCGCGCCCGATCGGGCAGGCTTCGCCCGGTCAGACCGGGCGATGAAGAAGTCAAGTTATGAAGATGCAATTCTGGAAACGTGTTACGCGCGCCCGACCGGGCGAGGCTCGCCCGGTCTGACCGGGCAAAGAAGGAAAACTGTCGTATTTTACGCAGCTTTCCTCCGCCCGATCGGGCGAGGTTTGCCCGGTCTGACCGGGCGATGTTCAAGATTGCGCGATTTCAGCTATTTCCGAATTTCTATCTTTTGAGGGTATAAATACCCTTTTGTAATTAACTTTTAAAGAGAGTTTTTTCATTAGTTTTTCTCCTTAAGCCCTAGAAAACTCTCAAGAACCCTAGTTTTATTTCCTTTAAGCAATTTCAATCTTTTAATCCCAGATTAATCAATTGTTCATCAACAATTTGAGTTCTTTCAATTGGAGTAATTGGTATTTATCTTACTTCACTCTTTTCTGATATTCACTGTTCTCTAAATATGTTTTCTTTACTGTTTCTTGTTTTTGAACTTGATTTTGATTTTATTATGATGTGTGAGTAGTTTCCTTAATCCGGGATCTTGCTAAGCTCGATTATGATTGATGTATAAAGTAGATCTTTAAATTCCCCAATAATAATCCCAATTGACATGCTTAATTGATTGTGTTTATGCCAATACTAGATTAGGAATAATTAGTATTGTTATCATCCCTTTGTTCTTATTGCAACGGAAGTTGGGTATTAACGGGATTAGGTTATTCCAATTAAGGGTTTGAAGATCATCACGGAAGTAGATGATTGAATAATTAGGAATCTAGGCATGGTGTTTAATGTCCCTTATTCGCTTGATTCCACGGAAGTAGGCTTGATAGTTAATTTGGGAAGCCATTGATAACTTGGAAGAGACCTTTGGTATTATTATTAGGGATTGCTTTTCTTCTTGTCAATTGATTTATATATTGGGGGTAGATTTATTAGTTTATCAATCATAATCGTGGTAATGCTTGATCTTGGATGCTTTAGTTTATTGATTAATATTTCCTCTAGTTAATTGTGTTATTTAATATATTAGTTGATTATTATCATCCATTATTGATTGGTGACGTGCTTAGTGATTAATTGAGTCTGATTAATTGAATGAACCATAGTCTCTTGGGATTCGATCCTTACTTGCCCTACTACACAGTTAGAAGGAATAGTTAGGTTATTTTTGTTAGGTACGCGATAAGCCTATCAAATTTTGGCGCCGTTGCCGGGGACTAACGGTTTCATATTGATTTTCCGTGATTCGTTTTTACTAAGCGTTGTTTGTTGCTTCGGCTATTGCCTCCTGTGTTTTTGATGTTCTTTGCCTAGTTCTTTGTTGTATGCAAACACGTCGCTCAGGGTCAGACGACTTAGTGCCTCTCGATTCAGAAATTGAAGCGACTGCAAGAAGACGAAGAAGTAGAAGAAGAGCAGGTAACAGAAATATGGAAGACCAAGCAACAAAGTCTCTTTTGGAGTACGGTATCCCTGACACAACAACCGGACTCCTTTCTAGCATTGTTAGACCACCTATCACCGCTCAGAATTTTGAATTGAAACCGCAGTTTATTCAATTCATATCCAATGATTCATTTGCTGGCACACCTCTTGATTGCCCAGTGAATCATATAGATGGTTTCTTGGAAAAGTGTGACACTATGAAGCTGAATGGTGTTACAGATGATGCTCTTAGACTTCGCCTTTTTCCATTCTCATTACGGGATAGGGCGAAGGAATGGTTAAGAGATGAGGGTTCTGGTTCCTTTGATACATGGGATAAACTAGTAAAAGCTTTTCTGGTCAAGTTCTTGGGACAAGAAAAGACTGCAAGATTAAGGAACGAGCTATCCACTTTCAGGCAATCAGATGAAGAATCCTTATATGACGCATGGAGGAGATTCAAGAGATTACAGAGACAGTGCCCTCATCATGGCATACCTGAATGGATGTTAATCCAAACCTTTTATAACGGTCTAACCCATGAATTCCGGATCTATATCGACGCCGCATCTGGAGGCTCCCTTTTAACTAAAAATCCAACCGAAGCAAAGGAGCTGGTTGAGAAGATGTCAGCCAATGACAACTATCACCCAGGCGGCCGAAATAGTGTCAAGAAAGGAGGTAAATTAGATGTTGATGCTCTAACTCTTTTAACTAGTTCTGTGCAGGCACTTTCAAGCAAGTTCGATAGATTACAAACTGGATCTTCTAATAATGTGCTAGAAACTTGTCAAATGTGTAATACTCAAGGTCACATCGCACCTAATTGCCCACGAAATTCGAATGAGGTATCAATTGAGGAAGCCAATGCCTTCTACAATTCCAACCCTAAAAGACCATACGATCCCCATTCTAATACTTATAATGAAGGTTGGAAGAATCACCCAAATTTCTCATACAAAAACACCCAGGCTCAGCAAAATCCACCTCCGCCCCCACCTCGAAACAACAATTATAATCCACCTGGTTTTCAACCAAGACCACCCCTAGTACAACAACCCATGCAACCTATGCAACCACTCCCTCAAAAATCCAATCTCGAACTAATGATGGAGAACTTCATCAACACCACAAATAATTCCATCCAACAGTTACAAGCCCAGAATAAGCTCATGGAAAATCAAATAAGCCAACTTGCTCATCAAGTCGGCCAATCTTCAAAAACACCAGGTACGTTTCCTGGCCAAACAGAGCAACCACAAAAGGGGCACATGAATGCTGTAATTTTAAGGAGTGGAAAACAGTTGGAAGACCTTCCCGTAAGGGAACCATCAACGATAGATATTGAGGGAATGAGTGAAAAACAGGGGATTTTGCAAAATTCTTCTTCGCCCGGTCAGACCGGGCAATGTCCGCCCGATCGGGCGCGAGAAGCAGTCGACGAAAAACAGGGGACTGTGCGAATTTCTTCTTCGCCCGGTCAGACCGGGCAAGGTCCGCCCGATCGGGCGCATGAAGAAATTCCAGACAAACAGAAGAACATAAGCAGCTCTTCTTCGCCCGGTCAGACCGGGCAATCACTGCCCGACCGGGCGGGAGATCCAGACAGCCT